TTTCTCTGTTGAGACCTGCCATTATTCTGCTGAGATTTCTTGTGCATTATAAACAAACTTTGTTTGACTTCAGAAAACCATCAGGTAGTTACAATAGCCACTTTGAAATCCTTGTTTGTTTCAACATTTGGTTCATCTTGCATCAAACGCTGTTGATTTTCTTCTCTTTGAGATATGTTCCATTTACTTGATTCTTTGTCTACTGGGTATTTTTATTATTATTATTATTATATCCTAGCTATTATTAGAGGTCCCTATGTAGCACAAATGGCTTGTCCCTGACTACTAACTGAGAATTTGCAGTTCGAATCCACCCAGCGGTGCTGGAGAAGAAAGGCCTGTGAACTTCCATGAAGTTACAGCCAAGAAAACCCATGGAGCAGTTCTACTCTGCAGCACATGGAGTTACCAAGAGTTGGAGTTAACTTAATGGCAATGGGTTTGTTTTAAGTGTTTTAGACATTAATAACATTTTTTTTTGTGGTAATGTTAGATTCTGTTTTTTTTCTCTGATTAGGGGAAAATGGCAAAAAAAAAAAAAAAGAGAAAAAAGTTACAAGTGCTATATAGTGATGTGGTTAATACATGACTTATTTGCTTATGTATTCAAACTTTCTAGCTATCTCTTAGGTTCCTCATCTGAAAAATAGGTGTAAGATAACATAATATAGGTAGTCCCTGATTTACGATGTATTTGAGTTATGATGCACTCACAACTGCACTCACAACCTTTTTGGGGTACATCTTATCATTAGTAATATATTGCAGTGTATATATAATTTGTTGATGTTATTATTCTCAGATATTTACTCACAGATGTTCTATTTTTTGATTTATTGCTCAAAACGCTTCAAGATTTATAAAGACGCTGATAATAAAATGCAATAATAATGAAAACTTAACAAAAAAAAATTAAGTATCCAAAGGAATTGTCAGAACCCTATTGAAAGTCGGGGACTACCTGTATAACATAACTCATAACGTCAATTCTGACTGATGCTCACCCCGTGTGTTACAGAGTAGAACTGCTCCACAGATTTTTCTTGGGCTTGATCTTTATGGCAGCAGATAGCCAGGACTCTGTCTGCAGTGCACTGGGTGGGTTTGAACTGCCAACGTTTTGGTTATTAGTTGAGAGCAAACTATTTGTGCCAGCAAAGGACCTAAAGATGAGGATAATGGTAGCTTATTGATAGCATTGTTTTGGGGAGTAAATGAGATAATGTAATATAAGACACTTACCACAATACCTGCCTGATACATAGTGTTCAGTAAGAGCTTATTTTTATTATTACTCAACTTTGGCAGGCAGTGGAGTGCTATTACAGCCTTTTGAGCAAGTAAGTAACATAAAACTATAGAAACTTTAGAAAAGAATATTTCAGCTTACTAGGTTTACTAAACAAAGAAATCACAATTTTAGTATTTGAGCCAAGAAAAACAATACAACAGGTTATATCTACCTCAGACTCAAGGCTGAGCTGGGGAACCTCTTGCTAGGGATTATGTATGTGCTGAGCCAGCTTAGTGACAGAGGGGCAGGATTTCTGCCGGACAAAGTCCAGGTCTGGGTTAGGTGATGAGACTGGTGGGCACGTTTACAGGCCAGTGCAGTGATAACAGCTTTGAAACAAAGAGCAATAAATTTGAGTGGGAGCTGGGAGACGTGGGATATAGCTGTCTGCACTACGTTTTTGGGAGACCCAGAGCCGAAAAGGGAAGGGGTTAAGTTAGACTTCAGGATAAATTGAGAAACTCCTACTAAACTCAGCACATTGCTTGTACAAAGATCTAGCACAAGATCCAGTTCAAGATAGAGGAGATGAAGGTATTGGAAAGCCATGAGTAGAGAAAATAAAGCTGATCAGAGGAGCCAGCACTCTCACTGGGGAGGCGAGTCATACTGGCTTCGAGCCGTGGATCAGCATCCTGGTCAGGACAAGGGTCTCCTGCTCAACCACCTCTGGTGGTCGCTCCAGGCCGTCCTGGATTTCTGTGATTCGCAGAAGGGTAGGAGTCTTCTTTTTGGTCCCAGAGATTAATTATTTTTGTATGTTTGTTTGATTTTTTTAATAAAAAAATTAAATAAACTTTATTGGAATAATTTTAGGTTTTCAGAAAAGTTGCAAAGTCAAGTTGTACAGAAAGTTCGCAGTATATCCCCCATCCAGTTTGTTTCCTCTCCTGTTAACATCTTAAAGTACCAAGGTACATTTGTCAAAACTAAGATGCTGCCATTGGTCCATTACTATAATTAACCCAAGACTTTATTTGGATTTCATTAATGTCAGTTAATGAGGTAATGTCATTATTGCCAGTTTTTTCATTAATGTCCTTTCTCTGTTCCAGAATCCAATCCAGGATACCACAATGTATTTATTTGTCAAGTCTCTGTAACTCTCCTCTGGTCTGTGATAGTTTCTTGTTCTTTCCTTCTTTTTTCATGACCTTGACAGTTTGGTGTTCTAATTTTTAAAAATTTTATTGAGATCAGATTTTATTGGCCTCTTCTACTTGACTAGTAGCTCTGGTTTCATTGTGCCTAAGGCATTTGACTACTAACCAGAAGGCTGGCGGTTCAAACCCACCAGCCACTCCTCGGAAGGTTGGGCAATCTACTTCCATAGTGATACTGCCTCGAAAACCCAAGAGGCAGATCCGACTTGACGGCAGTGAGTTTGGTTTTTTGGTTTACTGCTTGACTTTATCAGAAAATCTCTTAAGTCTCACCTTGTTTCAGCTATAGTGATCTGGTCTAATTTTAGGAATCCTCAGAAGCATGAGTAATAGCAAATTGTAAATAATTGTTTCATCCTCCTCAAATCTGTACTCTTAGAAGATGTGTGTGCTTGGATATTCGCTTGTGTAGGATTGCTAATTCTGTCTCCATAGAGCATGATTGTAAACTGTTGTCTGTTTACTGTGAAGTACCTCTTTCTCCTCTGCCTGCCATCCTGGTTAGTTCAGTATAAGAAATATTTTAGGTTTCGGGTAAATGACAATGATGGAAATCTATGTAATGAGTCCTAAATTTGCTTGACTCTGAGATTCCAAAAAACCAAACCCCTACAGTTGAGTCTATTCCAACCCATAGCGATTCTATAGGACAGAGCAGAACAGCCCCATAGGGTTTCCAGGCTGTAAATCTTTACAGAAGCAGACTGCCTCATCTTTCTCCAGCGGAGCAGCTGGTGGATTCATACTGCAACATTATGGTTAGCAGGTAAATGCCTTAATCACTGTGCCACCAAATGACTACTAAAACTTGGAGAACTGAGGAGCTCATTCACAATAACTGAATAATATGTCTTCACCAAAACAAAACAAAACAACACAACCAGTATCAAACCTTACTAGTCTTAAATGACATTGAATTTTTGGTGAACATTTTTGAGAAGATAGACTTATTCTGGTGCTTGACCCAATCTTCACTTTACTATTGCAGATCTATGTTAAGTCATAATAATGCTAACTTCCAAAAGAAATCATATTAAATAACTTATAAAATGTACTTATCTTCACTTTACTATTGCAGATCTATGTTAAGTCATAATAATGCTAACCTCCAAAAAAAATCATATTAAATAACTTATAAAATGTACTTATAAATAGAAAACTTTACAGCAATTAAAAATAATAATGTAGCTTTATACATATTGCTATACTAAGATGTCTAGGAGCTCTGGTAGTGTAGTGCCTAAGGCACTTGACTGCTAACCAGAAGGCTGGCAGTTCAAACCCACCAGCCACTCCTCGGAAGGAAGGTTGGGTAATCTACTTCCATACTGATA